TTCTGGTCTTGGCAACGGCGCTAGTTCGGTAATAAATACATGAACCCATATGCTTGCTACTTCCACAAACCGAGAAGTATCTCCGTAATCATTTTCTTTTCGCAAAATCTTTCTCTTCCCCATAACGCCGGCGCAATCTTCCCTGATCTTGCCACAGAGATTTTCGAGCATTTAATGCTCTGAACCCTTGTCGTTTAAACATGGTATCTTGCGACAGAGATTGTGTCAGTTGTAGGGGTGTTTTTGTCAAAATTCTATGTGTCAGAAGGGAGAGAATTTATTACGTAGTTTCCATTCGCAAATCTTGAAATATCTAATCTTCTATGGTTTAATATTTTGTTCCCCCTATATATAATGTATTATTTGTGAAAATTTGGATACAATAAATGTCCAATAACATACAACATGAGACTTTCGCAGGATCAACCACAGCCAAATCCGCATTTTGAGGGCCGCAACATATCGGTGGTTTATTTGTTTCCACACTTTCTACAGTTTTGCCACAACGAATAACTGATTATTATTTTGGCAAAATGACATCATTTGCCACGTCGGATGGTTAAAATACGATGAACTTGTCCTTGCTCTTCACCGATGCAAGTTCCGTACTTCATGTAAACAAGCCAAGTCGGATACTTCCATGTAAACTAGAAAACTAAAATCCAATATCAATCGAGACTATTTTTTTTGTTAAATCGCTCACCAAAAAAAGCAACGTTCAATGGACTCGTGAGGGTGAATTGGGTACTACATCAAGCAGGCTTCGACCATGTTTAACCAGAAGTTTAATTGGATTTAAGGTTACTTAAATGTTTGTTAAGTAATTTATAGCTCTCAATTCTAAAACTTAATTTACATATTCCAAGAGGAGAGGATCAACTGCTCGAATATTGATGAAGCTGCATTGTTTCAATCGCTAATCTACCAATAATAACATTTGAACAGTAGCCGTGTGTGTGATAATTTTGAGTCGTCGAACCATATTCGTGTTTGCGATAATTTTGGATCTCAAATGAATTGTCAACAAACAGAACCAAAATGGTATGGACTAGTATTTGTTGTGTCAGATTACAAAAGAATCATCAACGGGATTAAAATCCTCAGACAGGGATAACTGTTTTTTGATATTTGTTATCATCATCCACAACACAAATTTCATTTTAATCAAAAGACAAAAACACGATTCCTTCAAATTCAAAGTTAAGCCTCAGACCGTCCTAGTCAAGAAAGTATCTCAACACACTTATTGAAATTTCAGTAAGCATCATATCTAATCATCATCAGCCTCTTATCAGATTGAACAAAAACCAATTAAACAGAAAAGCATAATAATAAGAAGGAAGAACTCAGTCCCTTAGATGTTCATAATAATGCGATCATTACCGCAATCATTACAGGTCTGTAAACTGACTCATCACTGTTCTTCCAAAAACACATAAAACCCCCAAAATCTAGAATCCAATAAAAATAATATATAGTTGCTAAGTTGTGTTCACCCACATCACACCAGCAAAATCGTATAAATACGAACTCACCGAAGATTAGGGAGAATTATATAAAAACGAGAGCAACACGATTGGTTTTGCTTCAAGGGAACGAATCATATGGGAACGAACAAATCCACATAGACTATCTGATGAAGCCAATCTTACTATCACAAAAACCGTGATAAAACTAGATCCAAAGCAAGCCCAATACAAAAATAGTGAAAATTACAGAATATAAAACGAAAGCTGTACAGTGAATTGAGTTTCGATTGATGCTGCTAAAACCCTAGTAATCGACCTATACAATTGAATAGACTGTGTAATTGGATTTCTTCTATTTATAATAGAGAGGTTTTGGGAAAACCCTAATAGGCTTTTTTAGTAGCCCATATGTTTTTATGAAGCCCAATAATGTTTTTTTGCCGTTTTTATAAACAACCATTATCATGGTTAATCTTGTTGTTGTTACTAATATGCTTTGTTGCATGACATAAAAATTATAATCATTAGAAAGAAAATTTCCTCAAAAAGTTTATACAATTGACTGATTCCGTGATTAATCTTTAAGATTCTCTCTTCAAATGTGTTAAAATATTTCTAACCGGATAATTTGATTGAAGGAGAATTAAAAAGATGCTAATAGATGAGAAGCGTATACAACAACTGGTTCCATGTATCAGGTAGACCCGGCAAACACCAATGGCTACAATCTGCAGACTGGTCTGGTCTAGACCTTTGTGAACCGCTAATGAGACCGCTGTAGACTGACGGGTGACCGTCTTTTCTGAGTGAAGAGAGGAGCGTTATGTCGAGAAGATAAGCAGGATTATGCATCCCGTGAAGGACTTCAACGATCACTGATCTTAGCTGATCTGTGTAGGAGCTCACTGGGTAAGCTGCTCCTGTGATTGGTTCTGTTTCTCCGTAGCAGTTCTTGGATCCTGAAGACGATGATGCCGCCCAGTCACTCGGGCTGATCAATCACAAAATATATACAAATGGTGTCAAGACATTCCTTTCAAAAACATCAGACACAAATGATTCAATCTAACCAGAGAGAGTAAGTTACTTGTCGTGTGTTGGAGAAATGGAGAGGAACAAGACTTGTGTTCGGGATCTATCAACGTGAGTTTCGACCCAATATGCCCAAGTACGAAGTGCTTTCTCCATTGCGACGAAACGGTCCATGTCTTGGTAATAAGAATTGCCTGATTGAATCAAGTCCCATCTGTGTTCACAAGTAGATCAATACATATATAAAGAGACTTTCACACTAGAAAATCAAATCATTGGAAGTGTGGTAACTTACCCTTGCATAGATCCGGTGTGGCTCCACCAGTGACCAGTGTTGAAGATGAGGAGATCAGCGTCATGCCAAGCGTTGGCATTGCCAGAGATCTCATCCAGTTTCAACACTCGCTTGCCTTGAACAGCATCTATGTCCACCAAGAACGGAGCTTTGTAAAATGACATGGTTATCCCATAATCCTATACATCAAAAACAGTTTCTTGTAAATAAAAGCCTGAGATACAAAATGTGAGACATTGAAGAAGAATAGAGCATTATTACCAAGAATCTGAAGGTGGAAAGAGGGAGGCCTCTCCTCATTTCGGTCCGAGTGGACGGTGCAGATGAAACAATGAGGCAGATCAACGACTCCCATTGATTCTTCCCCAATGAATCACCCGCAAACATTATGGTTTTGCCCTTCATTTTCAACAGAAACTGAGCACCATTGAACCTAATCCATTTGTAAAAGACCAGAAATCAAAACACTAAAACCACAGAATCTCTCAAAAACCTGATTTTGAGCAATCGTAAAATCTTAAAGTAGAATCCTTTCAAATGGGTTTGCCAAAAGAATACATTTTGACAACTTAGCTCAGTAAAAATTGCAGATTTCAGACGACAACGAACCTCATTACAAATAACGCAATAACTCAAGATTTAACCACGTAATTAGAGAAATTTATGACAAGAAAGAAGAAGAAGATAAGTATGTACATACGTGGGTAAATTGCAATTCTGAGGTTGCCATCGATACTTGAGGTAGTCAGAGTCAGGACGTCCGTACATCTGACAATCGAACTCAGGCTCAACGACGCCGGGACAATCCGCCGGTTTATAGAGAGGGTAAGAGTTATCACGAACCCACGTGCCGAGGAAGAGAGAGCACGTGCTTCTGTTCCCTTGGAAACCAGCTGATGGTCTGCTTGAACTGTATTGGTTACCACTACTACCAGAGCTTCCATGGCGTTTCTTCAAGCTCAGTATAATGGCTGAAGAAGATTGTTCTGGTTGTTGAAGCAACAGAAAGAAAATGGCGGAGACTGAGATGCCAAGAAGAAGAAGAGAACCCATCTTTTTTGCTTTTTCGCGGAAAACAAAAAAAGGAAGCTGTAAAATAATTGAGAGATGGAGAAATATCTTTAGAAAGAAAGAAAGTTTTTTGAGATTTTGATTTTTTCATCGGTGTGTGTCTGTGCAAATGGGTATGGGTCTTCACGTGGGTCCTCTTACTTGTGTAAATATTTTACAAATTTCAAATTTTGTATTATTGGGTGATGATAAATTTATATAAATATTCTAAACATTGCAAAAGACATAGCTATATATTTTGGGTGAAGGATTTAATGGATTTCTTTTCTTCTTCTGCAGGTTCACATGATTAGTTAGATTTTATAATAAACGCAACCTATAATTGATAGCAATTAAATTTGAAATGATTTTTTTCTATTAATATATGATCACAATTCACGAAGGCATATAATACTTTGCTTAATCATACATGTTACCTCTTTCCAACTTCATACAATAAATATATATATCAAGTGTCAGAAGAAAGGTAAGCATTTGTTCCTTACTCTTTTGTGTTTTTTCTTTTTCTTAAATTAACACATTTGGGTTGTTTTCCAACCTAAGATTGTTATACACAAACATTAATCGTAAAATCTCAACCTTTGATGTTGTCCCAAGATTCTGAACAAAACTCATGGTGGAGACCTTTTTGTATCTGATGATGCCCTCTCCTTGGAGTGTTCGTAATTCATGTTAACCTCATGCATTTTGACTTTCTTCGTGAGTAAAACTTTACAATACGGTTCTCTTTCAACAACCTTTCTTCATGTGTTCTTATTTCCCTGAAAACAACGGAAAATAGTTAAAAACTGTATGAAGCTATGACCATTTATAAGATTCATGGATTCTCTAGTTACAATCAGAAGCCTAATTCATCATCTTTGGACTTGAACAGTTGCCATATCTGCATCTTATAATTTAAAGATTGACTCTAGACAGTTATATTACATATGTAAATCTGATCTATCATCAGAAGCAGAATTGTCTTCAATCCTAAGGATGTCACAGTGTTGTTCACCTTGAGACACTGCACGATAAGTTTTAAAACATTATTCAAGATGATTGAGTTTGAAAGATTACAGTCTGTAATGATAACATAGCAAACATGGGGACTGACCTCATTTGGAAAAGAAAAACAAAGCAAAACATGGGCACTAACCTGTACTTGGAATTGGATCTACCACGCTGCTCTTGATTAAGATCTTCTGGCACAATATTGTTCGTCCGAATTCCAACAAGGTAAATTTAAGAAATTCTTTTCTTTCGGAGATTGTCATCTTTGTAAATCCAAATGAGTTGATCCATGTGTTCAGCACGCATGGAACTGCAGGCAGGACCAGCCTCTCAACTCCCAAGTCAATGAGCACCTGGAGAACACAGCATTTTTAAGAGAACAGTTAAGACGTCTTCAGGGTAAGCAAACAAAGCTTCTTGAGCCGAAGGTGAAAGTTCAGTTTTCAATAGTAAACTAACACCTTTTCGAGTTCATTAATCAAAACCCGGCACATCCCACGCTGGCGATGCTGGAATCTAGTACCGATAAAGGGCATTTCTGCAACCTTTTTCCCCAAAATTCTGAAAAGAAAACGAACAGAACAAGTCAGGCTAACAATTCAATAGAGGTTTACACAGGCCACGAGATTCTGGAGTTTCTGTAATATAAGCTTTAAGAAGCTTACCTGACAGTAGCCACAGTAACCAGTTCTTCGTTCCTTTCTAGAAGTACTGTGTAAAATCCACTGAAATTCAAACGTTTGAATTTTGACCTGCAGTTTTCTTAGAGTTAGGAAGACTGATGCGAAAGAATGTACTATAAGGCTTTTACATGTAATTCTTTATGGTATTGATTGTTTGTCTCTTACCATCTGCTAAAAATAACATCTTCAGCAAGATCTCTTCCACCATGAGGTCTTTTTACAGGCTCGAAAAGTTCATGCATCACATCAAGGGCAACACTGAGTTTGCAGTGATTTTCTGCCACAGCCTCAATTTTATAAGCGTCATCCCCATACATATTTGGTTCAAAGGACTGCACCAGTCTCCAAGTTAATTTCTCCACGCCCACCTCTCTCGGTTTTCCAATAAGCTCACAGAGATTTACAAATATCTACAGTTTTTTACGTAAGAGCAATGCTGAGTATGACATGCAGTATATTATCTTGACTGCAGCATTTTTGTTTTTTACGCTGCTTAGTTAGTTTTCTTATGGCTGTTAACAAACATAAATGAAACATGGGATTGGAATTTATGTACCTCTTCACAGTCCTTGCTGCAAAACCACTTTTCTCCCAAGAATGTATCCAATGAATCACCGGCACCATCATAGCGCAGACAACTAGGGTGATCTATATGAACCGCACAGAAAAGAGAACCTTATATAATTTAAAATATCTTGTTGACCCTTTGTATTAACATAGGGAAGTATTCCTTACATTTAAGTTCGCATTGCTTGCAACTGATAAACTTTTCCTCCTTGGCATATTTGCTAGTAGCCTTGAGAAAGAATTGTCCACATGCACCACAACAACATGACTCGCAGAACCAGTCACCATCTGGAACTTCCTACAAATTCCAACGAGAACATGTTCAGAAACCACGAAAAAACCTGTGAAATCTCAATAACGGTCTTAGTGAAAGTTTGGCGAAAAAGATAAAACCTCCAGCCCGAGACAATTTGCATGGAAGGCAGATGGACATCCATCACAGAGAATCAGTTTACCGCCATAGTGACAAACAGAGCAAATTACATCGTTCTCCCCTTGACGCAATTTCATCTTCAGAATATCAGGTGGTTGTGCTTTCTTTCTTGTTTCATAGGCTTCTACTTGGCATTCCAAAAGAGATCTTCCATCATCCAGGAAGATATTGGCTGCTGCTCTGCAGGATCCACCATTAGCATGAACTTCAAAGCCACTTATGGTGAAAATTCTACGGCAACAACTGCATTTTATACCCTCACGGGTTAGTTTCCCCTCTTTTATCACAGTGTCATCCTTTTGGTTACGGTATCGTATATTTTCCCTTGGTAGAATCACATTGTTGTCAATGAGCCAGGAAAGAATACTACGTGGACTGTGATGTCTTGAGATGGGAGTTATTACCCGTTGCACTCTTTTGCTTGATCTTAACACATGGGTTTTACTACGACCAGTTACTCGATTCTTAATATCCATTAACCTTCTTGAAGTGTGCCCCCTTCTCATGCTCAGATTGACATTCTGCAAACCTACAATCACTTCGTCCTTCTTAGGTTTCTGTTTACGCTTACTTTTCAACCTTAGGATGATGCCTTGAGCTTTTGTTTTTGGCTCGAGCCTAACATGGAGTGTCTTTTTCTGACCCGGGAAGGCATTTCTGGGACAGAAATTGCGGCTTTCCCTCGTGAAGACCTCCTCGTTTCCTTGAGTTTCATACTCAAGCAAGGTATCAGTAGACGGCTTCATTCCTTCACCAAGAGCGACACTTCTATTACAGGCAGGCAATGCCAAAACAATACACCTTATTTCCTGGGTGTTATACGTCTGGTTTTCACAAGACAGAGAAGGAGGGTTAGCCATCCCCGGAGTAGTCAGGGATTCATCACGTTGTTTCAATCTGAAACATACTTGACGAAGAGAATGCTCTGTTAGTCTTCCATTTGGTGAGAGGTAGCGAAACCTTTGCCTTCCAGCTTCGTCTACCATATGTTCTATGGTCCATCCCATATACTTAAGATGCATCCTGACACGCATGGCCATTGGCGGTAACGGTGACCTGATAAAGCTCGACACAGCTTGTGGGCCTGATTTAGCAAGACAATCGAAAGGATGCCAGATTCCAGGTTTCTTGTGTAGTATCATCTTTTTATGAGCGGCAGTAGATTTTTTGCTGGAAGTTTCTGTTGCCTTATTGATGTAACTCGCATCTGACCTTATGCCAGAAGCAGAAGTCAAGACAGACAAGGACTGGCATCTCTGGCTTGCCGGTTTATAATCTTTGTCAATGCAGGAAAATTGTTGTTCTTGTGGAGCAATCGCTAGCACACTGCTGAGACAAGCATTGGTCTCATAAACCGCCTTAGAAGCTTCATTTAAGAGCTTCAACTGAGGGTATATTTCAGCGTCATAATCATGAAGAAACTGGTGAATGGTGATTCTAAGATTATCTTCAATCACCTCTAGCATCAAATCTTCCCATAAATGCCTAGTAGAGCAAGTCCATTCTTGGATTCTTACAAAACCAATCCTGTCCCGTATGTCATACCAAAGTTGCCTTACCGAAACCGGGAGATAGTTATCTTCCTTATATTTCTCAATCAAATCAAGAAACAACCATCTCCCACGACACTCCCACGTCTCTGTAGCCTCATTCCAATCCTGAGTAATACGTAAAGATTGAAGATCAGCATCCAATTCATCACCCAAATCAGGGAAAAACACCCGCCTTTTCTCAGAACCATTTTCGTGGTCAAAGAGCACACCTTCCCACCAAGCTTCACTGAAAAACACATCAACGCAAAGCCCATACGCAAGGTTCGACTTACCAAATTGCAGCGTTGGCGGCACAGGTCTTAAACGTCCACGGAAAGTATCAGAAACATCAGTGCAATCATCCAACCCTTCTACTACATCCGAAACATCAACAGTTTCCACAAGGGAATCAGTACCATCATCAGACAGAATGTTATCATATCTGATAGAACGCCGACGTCGCTTTCTCGCTGAAGTAACAGTTCCTAAATACCAAGAACCCAGAAACCCTTCCTCAAGACTCCTTACCTAAACAAGCAAAACAATTAATTTCCAGGATTAGAAGCATAAGCAACATTAACTTCACCAAAACAGATAAGATAAAACTCCCCAAAAGGAAGATATAACTTTGCACTAAGAATGGAAACTAAATAAATCTTAAAGCTTCACTTGTCAAAAGCTACACAGAACCAAAAGGGATTATAATGGAGAAACAGACAATGCAGCTTTCACAAAAGTCGAATCCACCAATTAGGCTCCAAGATCAAACCCAAACCTTGAAATAAAATCCGAAATTCATCAAAAATCTCCAAAAAAATCCTCGAAATTGAGAAACTGAAAAACCCTATAAACCCTACAATCAAAAAACCCATGGTGAAAACGAAAGACTCGGGGGAGGAAACAACAAGCAATGGCTTTACCTACCTCTATTTTATCACCGACGAGAAGCTTTTTCCGGCGGAGATTTCGTCCACCGGTGCTGTTCCAGCCGAATATCGGCTCTTCTTCCTCCGGCGCTGGCATTGAAAGCTTCGAGTGAGAAATTTTGAGGAAAAAAAAAACAAAAACGCAGTCTTGCGATAGAGAGCTCGGAGACGATTGAAGAGAAGATATTGTGGGTAAAAGACGAGATTTTGGGAGGTACTTGTGTGAGTAGCAGCTTTCTCCCCAAGCAACGCTGTACTCTGCAGCTTTATTTAGTCAAATCCCCCAATTAAACATGGGGATTTATTTTTTAATAAGGACATTGATTTTCTTTTCTTTTTTGATACACGCGAAAAGAATGGGAATTTTAATTTTGGTAAACTACATTATTTTCCTAATTAAAAATCACAATTTACCCATTTCACCCTCTTATTTCTTTATTTTGTCCTCCTTTTGTCTATTAAAGTTTGTTCATCACTCTCTTCACTCTGTTTTTCACTCTTATCCACCGGCTCCTCCGATTCTTTCCAAATTATATTCTGATTGTATCTTCCGACACCATGAATTCTAGGTTTGCTCATCTTTTCTGCTTTGATTCTCATTCTTTCCTTGGTTTTTTTTTGTTCAACTAGAGATATAGCTGATGAATACAGAATACTACATTCTTTCTTCTGATTTACGCGATGATTTTTCTAACTTTTGCCTCTAGGCTCAAAAAAATAGAGAAGATGGGTGAACTTTCTTCTCACTCACGTTATTCGAAAGCTAACCGCGCTTTTTTTTGTTAACAACTTTATATTGTAAAAACTAGTTGTTGATATATGTGTATTATAATTTTGAATAAAAAATCAAATTTGAAATTACGTCTTTGCACAGTATAAAAAGTATTTTAAACGTTATTAACTATTCATTTATTGTTTCGTATAATTATACCGCGTTAAATAACAAATATTCAAATAAGTAGCAATTATATATATATATATGGTATAATACTATAATGGCTATTTTTTTGTTTCATGCAGTTTTGGTTTTAAACTCAGTTCAGGTTTAGCTAATTACAAATAGACATAACTAGTGATTTAGTTAGTTTAGTTTTTGTATCAACAGTGAAATTTATATTAAGTACAAATAATACATTTTAATACAATAAAACTGATTTTAGAGGTTACACTTTTTATGTATTCAACAATTAATCAGAAGAGTTCCACAAATGGAAAGTTGTTATTGTTGTATAAACTGATACTGTATATTGGTTGTTTAAAAATCAATTTTGGAAGTATAAGAATTAGGTTTTCAGAATATGCAACTATGAATATTAATGGAGGCAAACTTATCTACAGATTTCAAATGTGTCTCGTGTAAAATATTTGTCATGATCTAGTGCAAGTAAAAGTGAAGATTGTGGTACATGTAGAACCGTCTATCATCTATAACTCTAATGCCTGTGGAATTCTCAATTATGGAATCATTTGCGGTATCGTCTAACATAGTAACATGTTTTCAAGAGCTACATACACTTTTAGATTCGTTCGTTGTGAATCATAAGATTATTATTTGTGATTTGTGAAGATACTAGCTTTCTAGTACCAGTTTTTTAAATTTATGTCTAGGGAGAAGAAATCGGCATCCTTCTTTTAAAATCAAGAAGCCGAACTAATGGGCCAAACCTAGGTCTTCAATTATGGGCTTTGAAACAGATCATTATCCTCGTATAGACGCATCGGTGTCGTTATCTGACTCTTCTGGCCCAGAAGTGCTTGGCGCCTAGTCGGAGAGAGGATAATTCACTGCATTAAGGACCATAAAAGTCAAGATGGTCTGTCCAATAAGATTCTGCCATTTGCGTTTTGTCGTCAGCGACGTCGGCTAATAAAATAGCAATGGTTAGTCGTTTTCAGTAGGTCCCCCATGCTTCTTATTCCATTCATTCTAGTCAGATTATGGATTCTTGTGGGTCCTTTTTCTATTGGTACACTTAGACTTTTCTTTACTTTTTTTTCGCTTTATTATCAAAATTAAAGTAATACTAATATATCTCTTCCTACAATACAAGATCCTGACCGTCGGTTTTAAGCATTTTTCAGACCATTGTCCTTTGAGTGACTTATAACAAAAATTAAATATTGACTATACATTGGAAACCCAACAGTGTTTGTGTTATCCATCGCATCAAGTGAAACAATACAATTTCATGATGAATTAAAAGAAACAGAATAGAATTGTAGAAGAAGAGAAAGTAATAGTAGTAGTTAAATGGGTTTGTGTTCTGATGTGAGAGAGCCAGTGGAGCAGCTTCGTTAATGCCGCTGCAAAAAGCATTGATGGGTTCGGTTGCATGCATTTGCATTTGGTGTGGTTGCAATACAAAACAGTAGTCGTTTCAAAAACAAATATTTATATATTTGCAATATTCTAGTATTATTTTTAATACATATTACTCTCTCTGCTTCTAGAAGATTGATTTTCTAGAGATTTCACATTTCTTAAGAAACAATCATTGCTTAATTATTTACTTTTATTAAACATTTTTTAATAAACTATGAACCAATAGTAATCTGAAACAGTTAATCATGACGTCTTGAAATCTACGATATAATAAAATCAATTAATTAAAAATAAAAAAAATCTAGAAAATTAATCTTTGTGGAACAAAGTAAAAACACTAGAACATCAAATTTCAAGGAACAAAAGGGAGTAGTATATAGTGGTACAACATTGTCATGGATCACGTACCACTATCTCTAATCAGACCAAATAAATAATTATTAATATATTAATACAAGAATAGCGACAGAAAATACAAAGTTTGGTCAGGTTTGTTCGAATTCTTGCCATTACCGAATTTAAATACGCATTATTTAAGTCTCGTAAGATATTTGTATTACCTAATCGTCTTTTTGTTGGAATTGTCGACCGAAAAAAACTGAACATAAAGGTCAATTTCTCGACTTTATAATAATTATCTCAATTATCTAAAAACTTAATGATAATTAATTTTGATGAATAACTCAAATCAAAGGCTACGACAAAAGAGTTGCTATCTAGCAAAACCCACTCGAGACGGTTCCGATTCTGTGTTTTGGCGTATGTTGGATTATTCTGGGGCGGTGACAAAGCTGTGGTTATGTAACAGGCAGTAGTTTTATCTTTAGCTCGTGAATGGAGAAAAAAAGTAAGTAGCTCATTTTAAAAACATGCTGACGATGCATGGTTTCCACGTCATCCCACCAAAAACCGGAAAAACGCGTGAAGCGTGACAAAACCGATGAGGTACGATCATCTGTGTCAGGTCTTACGTACACCTTCATTTCCTTCAGACTTTACAAATAAACTCTACAAATTAAAATTGAATGTGAAATAAATAAAATAGAAATAAAAAGGAAAAAAGAAAATGACGAGAGAGAAGCAGAAGAAGAAGAATGATGGAGATGGAGGTTTGTTTTATTATTTAGTGTAAGCTTCTTCATTTTTTTAAAAAATTCTATTATTTTGACCTTAAGAAGAAAGTGACAAGGAGAGGAAGAAGAAGAAAAAAAAAAACATAATTAGAGGAAAAAAGTTTTTCAATAAATTGAGTAGTTTAAAGGAAGTGAAGAGCGGTTTTTGGTGGTGTTGGTCGAGAAAAGAGAGCTTTTTCTCTGTGATCAATTTCTCAGAGGTAGAAATCTTTTCTCTTTGTTTCTTTGATTAATCTGGAAAAAAATTCGAGAAAACGATGAACTTGAGATTTTGAGTGCACCATTTATAGATTGATTAGTCACTAGATATTTTAGTTTCACTTGAATCCGTATATGTCGATTTGTTTTAGAGTTGCAGTTTTTAATTGATTTTGCTGATTGGAAAATGAGTTAACAAAAAAGGGTATATGATTAGTTTTCGATGTTGCAAAAATGGTTAATTATGGATCTCTGTTGGTGTTTATTTTTGGTTTGGTTTGTTTAAAGTTGGAAACTTTGTATCCCAAACTAACAAACTCTTCCTTCTCTCCTTAGCTTAATCGTTTCTGCTGTTTTAAAATCTGTTTTCTATGAATATGTTTATGTATAATACCTTTTTAATCAGAAGAAAAAAAAGATTCATCCTTTTCAAAATTTATTTCTTCTATTTTTTGCAGTGAAATCAATCGAGCGGGAAAAGATTGTTGCTTTTTGCCATGGGAGTTGATGAGCTGTCTCACCTCAAATTCTCTCTTCTGCTAGAATCATCAGCCTGCAATGATTTGTCAGGTTTTAAGTCTCTAGTTGAAAAAGAAGGTCTCGAGAGCATTGATGGCTCTGCTTTGTGGTATGGGAGGAGATTAGGATCAAAGAAGATGGGTTTTGAGGAGAGGACGCCTCTTATGATCGCTGCCTTGTTTGGAAGCAAAGATATCGTTGATTACATCATTAGTACTGGTCTTGTTGACGTGAACCGGTCTTGTGGCTCTGATGGTGCCACGGCGCTTCACTGTGCGGTCTCTGGATTGTCTGCGAATAGCCTTGAGATCGTTACTCTTCTGCTGAAGGGCTCTGCGAATCCCGATTCTTGTGATGCTTATGGTAACAAGCCTGGAGACATGATTTTCCCGTGTTTGAGTCCGGTTTTTAGCGCGAGGATGAAGGTTTTGGAGCGTTTGTTGAAAGGAAATGATGATCTGAATGAAGTTAATGGGCAAGGAGAAGGAGAGCGAAAGGTTGAGGTAGAGGTAGAGGTAGAGGTTTCTGTTTCACCTCCTCGGGGTTCGGAGAGGAAGGAGTATCCAGTTGATCCCACGCTTCCAGATATCAAGAACGGTATCTATGGGACGGATGAGTTCCGGATGTATGCTTTTAAGATCAAGCCGTGCTCTAGAGCATACTCGCACGACTGGACGGAATGTCCGTTTGTTCATCCGGGTGAGAACGCTAGGAGGCGTGATCCGAGGAAGTACCATTACAGTTGTGTCCCGTGTCCTGAATTCCGGAAAGGGTCTTGTTCCAGAGGTGATACCTGTGAGTATGCTCATGGTATCTTTGAGTGCTGGCTTCACCCAGCTCAGTACCGGACCCGTCTCTGCAAGGACGAGACAAAATGCTCGAGACGAGTTTGTTTCTTTGCCCATAAACCTGAAGAACTGCGGCCGTTGTACCCTTCAACTGGATCGGGTGTTCCTTCCCCGCGGTCTTCCTTCTCATCTTGCAATTCCTCGTCTGCTTTCGACATGGGACCGATTAGCCCACTTCCTATCGGAGCATCAACCACACCTCCTTTGAGTCCTAACGGCGTATCCTCTCCAATGGGTGGCGGAAAAACGTGGATGAACTGGCCTAACATAACCCCTCCTGCCTTGCAGCTTCCAGGGAGCAGATTGAAATCTGCATTGAATGCAAGAGAAATCGATTTCTCTGAAGAGATGCAAAGTCTTACTTCTCCGACTACATGGAACAACACGCCCATGTCAGCTGCGTCATCTCCATTCTCCGGAAAGGGCATGAACCGGCTTGCGGGAGGAGCAATGAGCCCGGTGAATAGTCTCAGTGATATGTTTGGGACAGAGGATAATACATCGGGTTTGCAGATCCGACGCAGCGTCATTAACCCGCAGCTGCATTCCAACAGTCTTTCTTCATCACCTGTGGGAGCCAATTCTCTGTTTTCAATGGATACCTCCACAGTATTGGCTTCAAGAGCGGCTGAATTTGCTAAACAGCGAAGCCAAAGCTTCATAGAACGCAGCAATGGATGGAATAACCATCCCGCAATCTCCTCCATGACTACAACTTGTCTAAACGATTGGGGCTCATTGGACGGAAAACTTGACTGGAGCGTCCAAGGAGACGAGCTACAGAAGCTCAGAAAATCCACTTCTTTCCGTCTTAGAGCCGGTGGCATGGAATCAAGGCTGACCAGCGAAGGGACCGGGCTCGAAGAGCCAGATGTCTCTTGGGTAGAGCCGCTGGTGAAAGAGCCACAGGAGACAAGACTAGCTCCGGTTTGGATGGAGCAATCATACATGGAGACAGAACAGACCGTGGCTTGAATCAAAAGTTTTGAACTTTCATTAACCGTTCCACAAGAAGCAAAGTGAGAAAGATTCCGAGAGGTCGTTGCTAATCTATTACATTTTATTTGTTTAATGTTTTGTTATTTTTTTTTAGAATAAAAAAGAAAATTCTTGGGGGCAAAAGAGAGTTTGTTTGTCTCTCTCTCTCTCTCTCTGTCTCCATAGAAAAACAGAGGTGAAAAGGTTTCAAAACCAAAGAAACCTTTAATTACCTCACTTCCTTGATTCTTTACTATTCACAATGAGTAATCGATTTATTTTTTCTTGGTAATGATCACTCTGAATATATATGTTTAGAAATAATATATTTGGAAGGCAGAAATGTTTAATTTTACACTTGTGAAGTTAGTGAAAGTGTTGTAATTGTTTCTTCTAAGAGTTGATCTAAGATGTTTAAGACTATATCGTCGCTTATGTTTCCTTCTAAATCTTCGAACTTTGAAGCTTTTCCGTAACCCCAATTTGAACCTTCAATGTCAGATACAGTGAGTTTGCAAATCACGAGCCACATCTCTTGGTAGCCATGAAGTCGGATCTCCGACTCTCTTGATCTACTCGTCAATGTGATGTTATCTTCTTGAATAGTTTCCTCACGCTTACTGGACTCGAGTTCTGAAGATAACCGTCTTCTTGAGGTGTTTCCTGTTACAAGGAAACAAGTATGCTTTAATAACACAAGAAAGGAGAATGCAATTTTGAATTTGAAGAATTACCAACCTGGTGATGGAGTTACTCGAACACCAGCGAACCGGTCATAATCAAGAACTGAGACAGGGCTCGAATCATCGCAGCTTCCACACTCTTCTTCTTCGTTCGTTGATCTCACTTCACAATTGACTAAATTTTCTCCCCTGGACCAACAATCGTTGCTCTTGATCAAATCATCCTTCTTAATTTTCTGTCTCAACTTAACTTCCCTTCTTTTTCTTCTGTTCTTACGTTTCTCCTTTCTATGCTGCTTCAATTCTCCAATCTCAAGCCTCTCGCGTCCTGGTGAAATGTTCATTGCATTGATGTTGTTCTCTTTACCCTCTATGTGTGTTTGATTCTCTGTTTCGCTCTGTTTCTCTTTTGTTTCTCGTCTATTCTTACATTTTCTTGTTCCCAGCTGCTTCAATTCTCCAAAACCCTTATCATATTTATCCTTCTCGAAGCTGAGAATGAAGAAATTATCATCTTCAAGCTCAACATACTCCAGAGTGGACTTAACTCTTATATGCTTTCCCTGAATCTCATCGTTGTCCCTCTTCAAATGATTCACTGAATTGCTCCTTGAGAGGACTCTGCTTTTGTCAATTACGGGAATCGAGTCCAGACCCATGAGCCTCGCCACAGCTCCTGGCTCATCTCCTCTGGCTCTGAGTGGTTCGGAGCTGAAATCACGAGACTTGAAACTGGGTTCAGTGATTTGATCAGAAGGGTAGGTCGAAGAGGTGCCGGAACAGAGAAATCTTTGAAGAATGAGAGAGATACAGCCGAAAGACTGAGTCTTTGAGCCGAGTGAGAGTGAACTAGCCGGAGAAGACGATGACTTCATCTTCATGGTCTATAGTGTCAGTGTCTCGAAACTAACGGAGAAGTAACGCAGAAGGAAAATAACTTTTGTCTTTAGTTTTTTTCGGTTGAGTGAGCAAAACAAAAAGTGTGAACAAACTCAGAGCGGGATCTAGAATTTGAACTAACATTCTCAGTCAAAAACAAAATGCAATCAGCTTTTTTTGTTCTACTTTTTTGTGATTGAGAGAGCATTAGAGCAACAGACAACAGTGGAGACGCTGTGCACTGCACGCGCTTTGACAAGTCAATTCCCGGAGAACTTCATGTCGTCCGGTGCCGCTTTTGTATAACAACCTCTGCCACTTTTTTTGTTTTTTGTTTTTTTTTTCTTTTTGATTATGGGTGATTTGCAACACTAGCGACTTTTGATAATTTAATTAAGAATATAGCATCGTATGTATATAAATTAAGAAAATAACATGTAAGGATTGGAAAAAGACAATTTTGGTGTGGATTTGTTGGTGGAAATGTCTAATGTGGGTTTGGTTGAATGAAACGAGCAATGGAAGATAAGAAGAGAGAGAGTTTATTAACACTTAGATTAATTTTCACCCATTTATATTTTTTTGCTATATATCTTTTCTAAAAAATAGATTCTAATTCTCAAATTTATGAGACAAAAATGTATGTTCTTTTTCTACATACTTCATAGTTTGAATTTTTAAAATCGGATGTGAATTTGTAAAATGGTGAATAGTGTTTATAAGTAAAAATATGTTGTACTATCTAGGATATATAGGAATAGAATGTTGTACTATACTATATTTATAAATCATTCGTGATGGTTACGGTGGTTGTCGGAGCTATTGGGATGCAAAAAGACGCGAATCGATTTGAATGGATTTATGGATTTTAATTTCTAGCAAAGAAATAGTTTCATATGAAGAAGAGACGAGCTGGTGGTGGATTGGTGTTTGCATTAATGAAAGAGGGAGAATTAGTAGCAGATCGGAAAAGGAAAGAGATTCTGGAAAAAAATGGGATGTGTCATGAAAGACAGAGATACTTTGACCAAAAAAAAAAAAAGACAGAGAAGAGAAATGGACAAAGAGACAAGGGCAAAATTGTGATTAATACAGAAAATATTAAGAATATCAACCTTTTTTTATTAGGTGTTAGTTTCTTAATTTATAAATTTTTTTGTAATATTCTTACAAATTTCCCTTTGATTATTTACCTGATTCGAGTTTTAGAATCGAACATAAATGTAGTATAATTGAGTACTGAACTGTCAGTTAAAAATTGTTGGATTGGGCCGTTTGGACACTTTTCGGTGGGCTTTATATTACTTCAATTAATTTAAGCGGGGTGTAAATGTATTAAAATATAAACACAGGGGTATTTAAGTAAATATTTCAAAATATAAGACGTCAACAATAAACAGGTTAGTGAAATTCCAGCATGCAAACAAGTCTTATTAGACTCTCTCCTTCCTTCTTCTCCGATTCGCTTTACACAACTTCCGTCGTCCTCTCTCTCGCTTGACTGTGAATTAATCGGTGATCAAAATATCCGCCATGGACAGAGCACAATTGATCTTGTTAGGTCTACCTATATTCTTATTTTGTTCGGATCTCTTCAACCTTTTCACTCCTCCGCCTCCAAAACCTCAGCCTCACCGTCCTCATCAGCCACCGCATATCCCTCACCAGCATCGTCCTGCTGCAATCATCCCTGAAACCCTAGATTTTCCTTCACAGGTTAAATTTCTTTTATATTTTCGTGTATTTCACTTCTATTGGTTTCGGTTTTGATCTCTCAGCTCCCATTGTTTTGCAGAAGACAAATGGCTTAGGAGCAATTGGATATGGAAATACAGTAGAGATCAACTTCTGCGTCTCTTGTTCTTACAAGTAATTCGATTTTTCTTACTTTGAGATTTAATTAGATTTGTAATCAAGATTGAAAAATTCGATTTTGATTCTATTGTTTTCTTACTTAGAATCGGATTTATAGTACTCTAGTGTAGTCAGAGAACCTAAAGCAAGCTACTAAGGTTCTCGTGGTGAGAAAGAAAACTTGGATTATTCGGACACTGCATAAGAATGATCTGATTCATGCTTGAGGTCATTGCTTAGTCGTAGTCAGATACATGAACATCCTAATTAGCATTTTGATAAGTTTCAGTTTCTTCAAAAAGTAAGTCATTGCTATTAGGCAGTTTGAGATTTGTTTTCATGAAACTATTAAGAGGTTTTGCATATCAGCAAACCTGTTCCAAACAGTAATTACATCTCTATAACTGTTGTTGACACTGATTTTGTCTCAAGACTTATTCGTGCTGCAATGTGTATGCATGTATATAATTTTTGAGTTCCAATTGACTATTGATATAAGCTACATCATTTGAAGTTCTTGAGGTTTCGTTCTTTTGTAGGATTCATTTCAGCTGCAAGGTGAAATATATATGATTTTTAGATTAGAGATGTGTGGTCGATCAACTTTGGTTGGGGATGATTCTTAGATGCTTTAAAACCTGAAAACCCCGATTTTGTTTCTTATATATGAATATGGTAAATGACATGACTTCATTGAATACTCTTTTGAGATTTATTCTTAGCTGTAACATTTCGTAACATACATTTCATGTTGATGTTGTATACTTGTATGCTACTTAAAAGCTGATACCTTTTGAACTTCTACGCAAAAGGCATAAGTAACTCTTTCAACAGTGTGACTGGTGTTCTGTATATTTTAAAGGTTTGTTCATTCCAATTTTTGATGTGCAGGGGAACTGCAGTCACTATGAAGAAGATGTTGGAGACTGCTTTTCCCGGTTTAGATGTGATTCTCGCAAATTACCCACCTCCAGCACCAAAACGCCTTCTAGCTAAGTTTGTGCCTGTTGCTCAGATGGGAGTTATTGGTATGATAGTAGCAGGTGATCGTATCCTTCCCATGATTGGAATAACGCACCCACCTGCTTGGTTCCACTCCTTGAGGGCCAACAGATTTGGATCCATGGCTTCTACTTGGCTTATCGGAAACTTTCTACAGTCTTACCTTCAAAGCTCAGGCGCCTTTGAAGTTCACTGCAACGGCGAACTGGTTAGTAATTTAACCACTATCAATGGTTCAAGATGATTTCCAGATATGTTAAGATCTGTCACAGTACTTGTACTAAAATCTCTTGTGCTTGTATGACAGGTGTTCTCTAAATTGAAAGAAGGTAGATTCCCAGGAGAGATCGAGCTGAGAGATCTCATCAGTAAAACTCTAACAAGACCGAGCATACTCGCAGGTAGCAGCTACTGAAGTAGTAGTATCAGAAGATAGAAAAGCTGGAACCTTTCCGTGAAGTTCCACAAGAATTTTAACACGAGATGGTGTTACAATCTCATGTGCCAAAAGTGTTTTTATGTTTGAATTTACATCCCATTTAGGCTGTTGATGTAGCATACCTTGATATAACTAGAGTTTACTCTTTTGATTCAATCATTTTGCATAGACACAAATTGGCAAAATAAGGTACCAAGTCATAACCATTAACCATTATCAAGAAAAAAATTGAAGTTGTATTGGGAGAACGAGAAATATCTATATAAACAGACTAGAGAAAGTTACAGAAACTGTGAGATTTGATCTCAGACAAACTGAAGATGTAAACAAGACGAGTTCTTTCCTTCTTGGTTAACTAAAACATTAGGTCAGCCTCTTCCAGCGACACGTTGGCCGGTAGTTGACGGAGGTACACCGGGATTGTGTTTAGGATTTGCAGACGGGTCACCGTAATCCTCAACGTTCACCATCAACAACCTCCTTCTTTCGAATCCAGAAATCTCAAACCCACCTAAAACCAAACGAAATCATTCAGGCAAACGTGATTGAATCGAAAGAAGGAAACAAGGAGATGAGATTCGAACCTGAAACGGAAACAGGGTTGCGGGCTAGAGATGTAATTGTAAGCGTCAATAAGAGACACACAAGAAGACGAACTACGAAACTCATATCTATCTGTCTGATGTAATTAAAGAATCTTAAAAATGCTTCTGTTACAGATTCGTGTCCGTCTTATTTATAAAGAAATGACAATTGTGAGTGTTTAGTTGTGTTTATCCAAACTGATTTTACTTGTCTCTCAAATCTCTCAATAGATATATATACGTAACTTATATAATATATATTTAGAAAGCGGAGATGATGAAACCAGGTCAGAAGAGAGACCATGTAGATTACGACACGTGTCAGAGAAGGAGGCGGGAGTGGGGGATGACGTGTGCAAAGCGTGGTGCCACGTATGTCACATCAGTGCCAAGCAAGTGGAAGTGTGGATGCACAAGATAGTGACTGTCATTCTGTGCAATCGTCAACGCTTATTACCAATTTACGATCATTTTACCAATTTCTCCCACTCCCAACCTTTTCTGTTGACTTTTTTCTCATTATTTCTTTATGGGTTTTTCTCGAACTTCTCGCCATAAAAAAGATTATTAACAGCTCACTCACTGTTCTAAACGAGAACAAAACATGTTTTTTTTTTTTTGACATGTTTACTTTTACATTGTTGATTCGATTCGATTCGATTCTGTAAAAACTTGTATTTCACAATTGCCAACTCAAAAGCAAGTCAAAAGGCTATGTCGCAAAGGCTGGCCTTGCATGAGAGTATGAGACCATTTAAATCAACATATGTGAAATTCCTAATGAAATTGGTACTTTACCGATTATGCCTGGAGTCCAAAAATATCCAAACAAGCTTTATAATTTATATAATAGAAAATCTACAATTTAGACTTTTGAAAGAGATTAATTGTTAATATTGTCCAATGATAGGATCCATACATGGATTGTCTAAAAACTAAATGTTTGAAAAATGTGTCAAAAAATTTTACAAAATTGGAGACACAAACTATGCTTGACAAGGTGATATTTGCATCTCACATCTTCATGCTCATGCTAGCCAATCAGTCTGAAAAGAAAACAAGAAGCACACAATATACGCTTTGATCAAAAAACATAACACATAGACTTAAAATTAGAACACATCACAGAGACTGATTAATTTAGAACAAAACACAACTTAACATTAATAGATAGATTAGAGAGTTACATTACCAAAGCCAAAACCGAAACCAGAGGACGACATGAGCTGTTTATTAGCCATGATGATTCCAACGGAGCTGATTACATTCATAGCCCATGCACCGACATCAGACACCGCCGTTTCTTCTCGCTCTCCGGTTTCTCCATTTGAATTGAGAAAAGTTGAACACCGACACTATCAGATATAAATCTCGTGCAAACGAAAACGAGATATGACAAATCTAGATTCGCCTGCAGATTTTGAGAGAATCAAACACTGAAAAGATGAGATCTGGAGAAAAGTCGATTCACGCCGTTCTTGAAATCGGCGAAGAAAGCCAAAAAGCCAAAACACACACACAAAAACAATCACGTATGACGTATCTCTTTCTCTCACTCTCGCTTGCTCTCTCTGTCTCTTCGATTTATGGTTCACTGCTTCTTCACTCGACGTTGAATATAATCTCACAAGCAAGCTTCTTCCACCATTGATGCTTTTCTTTGGAGTTGTATAAAATTCTTCTTTTCTCTGATAAAACACGAGCCGAAATTCTTCTTCATACTCTCTACCAACCAAAAATTGACACATATACGAGTCCAAATCTGTTTTAATGTCCAAAATTGTAATCGGGTCTACGTTTTTTTATTTAGTTTTGATTTATTTTTTAGACATTTTATATTTTATACACCCATTTGAATCCCCTGATAATGATGCTCTTAGCAATTTAGCATGCATCGTAATGCCCTCCAATATTTGTGTAGAACATTATTTCTTTCCTTTCTTCTCTGTTTTCTTTCATGTAGCTGTATCATTTGGTAGAAAGACTTGCTATTATTTATACACTTGTATAGTGATTGAATTGTCTATAAACATATAGAAATAGTTCATCTAATTCAAAGAATATTATAAATGTATTGGATGTTGAAGTTTATAAAAAGTATAAAATTTTGATACAAATTCACTATGATTTGAATTATATAGTTTTGATTTTTTTTACTTCTTATGCTATACATTCTATTCTAATTAGAACTACAAAATATTTATGTTCATTCGAAAATGCTATCGATCCTATTGGGCTCCTTAGAAACCCATATTAAATCCGACTAATTTTAAAAATGCTCTTGAGATTGGTGTTACGGTATCACTGATGATACCCATCAAACATGCTCTTGAATTCAAAAAAAATAGAAGTAGACAAGATTTACAGTATTTCTATATAATGCTGTATATATTTACTCTATGTCTACTTATATATAATTTCGTCGTGCGGGTGTAATTACGAATAAGTTCTTTTAATTTGCATGTAAAACCAAAAAATGTTTTGTTCAATTTAGAAAAGTATTGGAACTTTACGAGTGACGGGCCGACAAGTAAGATTAAATTGTACACGTATCCATCTCGCATGCAACTTGGTCTCTTCATTTATACAGAATCTATGCCTTATCTGTGTGTTACAGACATAAATCCGTGACAAAGTGACATCAATTCATTAGGGAATAATAGTAAGGAGACGTTGATATATAATATCGAAATTTTATCCTTTTTGAACTCTTATGTTTTGTTATTTAATTAATTAATTTATCAACTGTAACTAAATGCACCTATAGATATACATATACACATCAAACACTCCATGAGGAAAATTGGGTAATTTCTAAAACCATTAAAAAACAATTCTCAACTTTTTTCAATAGATTTTTAAACCTTCAAGTTTTAGTAAAAAGTAAAATAACATCTAATATATTAAAATCAGTTCAAAATAAAACAAACCATTATACTAAAACAAATCAGTTTAATATTCAGTTTTGTTACAATTAAAATTTTTGTTGTATAAACAATTTACATTTATTGGCTTGGACAATCAGTTTCAAATTTAAGATAACATACCTAAACTTTATTTTGGATCGAGTTTAGGTTTGATTCAATTTTAGATAAAAGTAAGTATTTCATGTTATATATATGATATGATTTTATATAATAACTAAAAATAAAATTAATCAAGATTTATTCGGTTGAGTTATAGAAATTCACCAACGTGAAACAAAATCAATTTAGTAGTAGTAAAAGAAATATAAGAAGAATTTATACCAAATTGAATATGAATTTGTTTTAGTAAAATTTTATTTGGTTCGATTACACAAGTTTATAAAATACCATAATTTTGACCCATTTTAAATTATTAGCTCGAAAAGTTAGAACAAATTCGAACAAAAAAATAAACAGAATGAGCTAGAATTTGAAAAAACTCAATTTTGGAGAAAAAATTTGTAAAGTAGAATTTTTATAAAATAAATTACAAACTAAGTTATTTTTTTAATATTAATTTTAATATAATAGTTTATTTGATATTTATTTGGTTTACTAATATTAGGGATTATTTTATTATTTTAGAAAAGGTGAAAGTTTAAAAAATCCAAAAAAGGTTTTTTACTTGTTTCCGAAAAGGCGACGGATTTCTTACCCATTTTATCTTTGTTTGAAGTAATTTTATAAAAAATTTAAAGAATAAAATAGAAAGAGATCTATAGAGAAAGAGGGAGAGAAGGCTTAAGAATTTCATCGCCCGAGAGATGAGCATCAGTGAGTCATATCCACCGGCTTTCCGGCGTGTAATCAACGACGGAGATCGTCTAGCAACGGCGGAGGCTGAACCGGTTCTTGTCCAGGGCAAGGATATCAATATCCCGGTTATCGATATGGAACGTTTGGACAAGGAGATACTGAGAGAGGCATGCAAGGAGTGGGGAATATTCCGTCTAGAGAATCACGGAGTACCGTTGGCGTTAACGTCACGACTTCAAGAAATCTCGGAGTCGTTACTGAGTCTTCCTTTTGAGAACAAACGAGACTTGTTCGCCGCCGTTAACTCTCCGTTATCGTACTTTTGGGGAACGCCAGCTCTAAATCGTTCGGGAGATGCACTGAAGAGAGGAGCTCAAGCTTCAAACGTAACCATGCTCGAAGGTTTCAACGTTCCTCTCTCGTCTCTCTCAATGCTTCCAACTTCTACTTCTTGTGATGATGATGCTCAAGAGCCTAAACTTGAGTCTTTCAGGTAACATACGTCGTCGTTTGTGTTTTACTTAGTTGCTTAATAGCGTCATTAGTGGTTTCTGCGATTAAATTAATCAATCATTCAACGTTAAAGTACTCAATAATTAAAATATAGGTGTAACTAGCTGGTGTACACATGGACTATACTATAAGACAAAAAACTATATGGACTTATACGACATAACAACAAAAGATAATAAATAAACCTCGCTGAATGTGGTCATTAAATTTTGTATCTTAAAATTTTCGAGATATGTATGTGAATACTAGATTATAGTATATTTTATGAAGTCTTTTGAAAACAGTGGAGATAAAAATTTATAGCATTTGATATGTTATAAGATATTTTAAATATCAGAGTTCTAGTAAGTGTGCGATTTAAGATAGCCTAGACTTCTATAGGAGGATCTAACTCTCGTGTGGGGGGTGGGGTGATGACAAATTGGTCTAAATATGGTAAACCATTTAGACTAAAATGACGAAAAAAACAAAAACTGTAGAGTTGACGACGAATAGTATTTACACGTGCGTAGGGTTTTGAACTTTTGATTGACGAGATGTTTACTTTTCTTTGTTTGGATTCCATGTATTTTGTTTAATATAATAAGTTTAGATTAAGTGCTTAATTATTTTATGAGATGTTTTGTGTAATCCATCCACTAGACAAAAGTTTGTGGTCACTATGTTCTACTAAACTATAAATGGCTAAAAAGATTTTGGCGGCATCTTTTTTTGGTCAATTGGCAATTTAGTAGCATCTAGAAATGGTAAAAGGATAGCGGCTTCCTAGCAGCTCTAATAACGGAGTAACTTAGATATGATAAAATCCAATTAACATTTTTGAATTTAAATAAATACTAAGATTATAAAGTCCCAGAATATATAGTATGCCAGGCTGTACATCTACATCAACTTGTTCACACATGCATGCATGTAAACTTCCGCAATAGTGATGTTTTTTTTTTCTTAACAAGAAGTAATCCGAACATAAAAATTCTTTTGGGTGAGTGAGTATAGCCGTCGATAATCTGTTCATCGGATTTGTTTAAGTCGAACCCGGCCGAAGAGCGAACGCCATGGTTCCATATCTTTTACTATTATGCCACTACCACTTGATTACTTACACAGAGTGTGTTGCTTGAAGCATTTTCAATCTTGTTGTAACGCCTCCATTACGCTAATTAATTAATGTACCTTGTCATTTTACTTGAATTTTATTTTATTTTTAGACTATGCAGTTTTTTTTTTTTTTTTAAATCCATACATCTTCTATTTAATAATAAAATTAGAAGCTTAAAACATCATTTATTAAAGAACGGAGGGAGTATATCATATATAACATTTATTTCAATAATTGTAAATGTTTAAGACTGAGGATTTACTTGTCTAGAATTCATTGTGGATCCACCATGCATTATATATTTATTTATAATTCATTGGTTACAAACTTCTTTTTGGTTGTTTGTTGTGAGTAAGCAGAGTGTTGATGGAGGAATATGGAAGGCACATAACTAGAATTGGTGTGTCCTTGTTCGAAGCTATAGCACAAACACTAAACCTAGAACTATCGGGTAACCGGAGATCAGAATTCTTATCGGAATCGACAGGGCTCATACGGGTTTATCGGTATCCACGGAGCTCCTACCAAGCAGCCAGAGAAGCTTTAGGAATGGAAGTCCACACAGACAGTTCTGTTATCTCAATATTAAAAGAAGACGAAAGTGGTGGGCTTGAGATAATGAAAGGTGAAGAATGGTTCTGTGTAAAGCCTGTTGCTAATACTCTCATTGTTAATCTTGGAGATATGATGCAGGTAAATAAATTATATTCATGAGTTTGGTTCAATTCTTTTTATCATTTTGATTGATGTAATATGAAATTGTATTTACAGGTGATAAGCGATGATGAGTACAAGAGTGTGACACATAGAGTGAAGAAGAAGAATAGGAAGACAGAGAGACACTCAGTGTGTTATTTTGTGTTCCCAAAGAGAGATTGTGTGATAAAGTCATCAAACTATAAGCCATTCACTTACTCAGAGTTTGAAGCTCAAGTTCAGGCTGATGTTCAGTCTCTTGGAACCAAGATTGGCCTTCCTAGATTCAACCCAAATTCTCCATTGTTTCTCTGATCGTCTCTAAAAATTTAGTATCTATTGGTTTAACAAACTCTGGATACTAAAGTCAGCAAAAGTTTGTAACTTCTCTCATCTTATTAATATCATGTGGTTCAATTGGAACTAGAGGTGTGGGATCCGGTTTGCTTTGATTCGTATTTTGGTTTACTAGTTTTATATAAATTAATACCATTCATTTTGTGCAAATTTAGATTTGTTCGGCTTAGTTTTCGATTTGGATTTGGGTTGATTTTTGATAATAATCATTTTTGGCTACAAATAACATACTGTAGTGATGATACTGGTGAAAATGCAAAAGTGAAAAATCGCAGGACAACTTTTAAAACTTAAATCCTCATCGATTGTGGATACTTTAGCTAGCTTTTTTGGTAGGCGGGTAGGAGACAATATCTCCTACGATTTATTCAAAAACACTAAAAAAAATTACAACCGAACATTACGTGGA